AGAGGTTGATCTCCTATGGAGCTCTAACAGTCAGGGAGAGGAAAGTGGAGTATTCAATCTCCCACCACTCAATTTCAACCTAGTTCTTAACAGCCCACAGCATGCAGAACCTGGACTGTGCCAGCAGGGGGCAGCCAACCACCACACAACTAGTTAGGCATGGCCTTCCTCAGCAGTTATTGGCATCTACTCTCTGAGACTGGAGCAAGACCAGTAATTTATGGAATATAAATCATCTAGGAAGCCCTTCCAACCCTGAGAAGAGGAGACTTTTTTTTTTTTCAGCTTCTTGCAAATTTCAAAATGTCTTGAAAATAACTTGATTTCAGCAGTCAGTCTCGATGACAGAGGCCAGAAGTGTCTGGGCAGCTGCATCCCTGCCGTCCATTTCCTTTCTGTCTCTTGCACTGTGGGTGCCTCACTGACCACTCCTTTTCTTCTCTCCTTTGCCCTTTGCCAATTTTGGCTCCCTTTCTATAGCCTCGACTGCCTCCTTCCCTTACCTCTCACTACCTTGCTCATCCCATGTCTCTTCCTCCACCTTTTCTCTTTCCTCCCACCTCCTGCTCTGTGCTCACATCCTCTCCCTCCCCTCTATGGTTTTCAGGTTCAGAACAAGAGATTTGGGCAGAGATCCCTGTGGAGATCCACCAGAGCCTTTGTGTTTACAGTGCCAGGCTGTGTTTGAGAGCAAGGCTGGTCAGTGTCAAGGCTATCTGCATGCCCAGTGGCCCCCCTGTTTCTCGTTCAGCACTCTTTCCTCATCCTCTCCCATCTTTCAGCCAAGGTGGAGCTCAAGGAGTCAGGGGAGAGACACGGAAGGGTCACTTTGAATTGCACGCCCTTCTAAACTGTACGGCTCTGACGATCAGTACAAGGCTTAGTGCATCCTGTCCAGGTAAGCTCAGTACCCGACCTCCACCAGGCAGCACACAGGAGAACACAGACAGCTTTTCAGACAGGGAGGTGAAGGAGGACCAGCCATGTCACTGAGCTAAAGAGATGGAAAAGGCCCACATTTACATGGCCACTCCATGTGGTGTTCTCTCTTGAGAATTTCTCCTGAGAACATCAGAAGGGGAATGGAAGTGTCACTAGTTCATATACATCCTTACACAGATAAGGCCCACATGTCCTCATTCAGGTGACAGTGTCACCAAGGGAATAAGAGACTCCCCTTTGCTGAGAGCCAATAGGGGGCTTGATGGAGAATCTGTAGGAGATGTAGATAGTATAGGAAGGCACCTGGCCACCCCATTTTACTGAAAGGGCAGTTCCCTTTCTGCTCCTCTGGACCCCCCCATTTAGAAAGTCTCTGTCCAGGGACCCTGCAGGTCCCCTTTACTTGCAGTTGTTCTGGGACAACTTTCCATACCAGTGGCTCCAAAATGTCCCACAGAGTCAGGGAGGCAGGCAGCAGCTGGATCCACTGGATTATCCTTCAAGTTCCTGCATTGGAAGGGATGAAGGACCTGCCATCTTAGCCAGGTGTAGGCAGACTGAACTAATAGAACAGTGTGGTTGGCTCTCTCACACCTGACCAGACTCAAGGCAATGCCATGGGTCCTGGCACTGGAGAGATGAAATATCTCCAATGCAGAGAGCACCTTCAGACCATATCAGAATCCTACTGATCCTTCAGTGAAATCTGTCAGAGGTAAAGCACCCATTGTGTGCCAGGTTGCTGCTCTTCTTTTATTTGATTTTTGATTTTTGATTGATATATAATACTTACACATGTTTTATGAGACTTAGTGTGGAGCTTTGATTCATGTAGGTACATGCTGTGTGGCAAACAACTCAAGGTAACCAGCATACCACCTTAAATGTGCCATCTATTCATGGTGAATACAATCAAAACAGACTAAATGTGCTTTGTTATATTTCTCCTGTTGTGGTGCAGAACTTCAGAATATGCTCTTCCTACATAACAATATACTTGTTGACCAACTGTTCCCACTTCTTCCTCCCCATCTTCTCTCCAGGTCCAGTAACCACCATTCTACTGTCTGTCTACTTCTAAGACGCCAACCATTTTAGATCTCATGTATGAGTGAAACTGTGAAGTCTTGGTTTTTCTGCATCTGACTTCATTGAACATAATACTTTCCAAGTCCTTCCATGTTATTAGAAATGACATCACCTCATGATTTCAGTGGCCAAACAATATCCTATTACATAATAAAAAGTAAAACCAAACAAATGAGATTATGTCAAACTAAAAAACTGGCAAAGGAAAAGACAACCATTTATCTGAGAAAAAAATTGAAACTATACATTGATAAGAAGTTACTAATATCTATAATATGTAAAGAACTCAAATGATTCAACAGCAAAAAAAAAATCAAATAACCAAATTACACTGGTGTAAAGATTTGGATAAATTTTCTCAAAAAAATATAAATATAACCCACAAGGAGTAATTAAATCCCAAGTAGTCAAATTCTCAAAAGAATATTTGAG